GACAAACGCGGCGCCGCTCGACGGCGTTTTCGCAGTGGCGGCGTCAGCGGGCAGCGAATCGGCACCCGTGCAATCGAACCCAAACGCGAAACCCGGATTCAGTTACGGATTCGCACACACGGCGCCGTTGGCGTCGTTCGGTGCCCCACACCATGGACACCGCCAAGGAACAAACGACGCAGACGCCGAGGGTTACTTGGCGACCCAGTATCACACGCAGAGTAACGTCGGGGACGCCGCTTTCGGGTACGCACACCCGGGCCAGGCTCACGCTTCCATCAGGGACGCCAACGGCGGCGTCACGGGGTGAGATTCTCATTTTAAAAATTTTTTTAAATGAAGGTCAACTTTTATTTTATCCTCGATGAAATCTTAAGATGCGAGTTCAACAGGTCAACAATGTTTTTTTCCCCCTTGCGAAGCAACGCATGATGACCGAAACTCCAGTATGTTCACTAGTCATTACATAGATGTCGCCTCAATTTTACTACTCAAAATATAATTGTCCGATCGGTTTTCTACGATATGCTGCATCGAAGTTGACTAGGACAAGTTCATTACATTTCGTTAGGCTCAGGTTTGGTTGATTACCATAGATTAGGTTGATCCTGATGAGTTCAGTTCAGTCAAAGTCAAAATGTATGCACTTGGTTATGCTTGAAATACAGTGAGACCCGCACATGCGGACACCTCAACCTGCCGACAGTTATTTTAACATAAAAAATTAATAAAAAAGGCCCAAAATGAGGACACTGACTCAACATAGGGACATTTTGTGATAAAATTGCAAATACATTTCAGGCCAAATTACAAGAAACAGATATTTCCAACCCTAAAATTGGTTTAAGAAAAGTTCTTGGACATTTCTCTCACCAATTTACCATCCATTTAGCTAATTAAAAAATTACCTCCAGCATAAGAGGGACTTCCTTCTCTCTTTTTAACTTGAATATTATTTTTACAGAGAATGCTAACATTTATACATACTGCACATAGGTATCAGTACTCAATTCCCCAAATGTCCATACTGTGTTGAAATGTATTGATTGGAATCAGTTTAACTTGGGAGACAATTTTCATTTTCATGGAATCATGGTGAGTATTTTGTACATAAAACACCCATTAAAAATTATATGATGGAAGTCTAAGGGAAAATGAGACTCAACTTAGGGACACTCTTGATGCACCAATTACGTCCGCATCTTCGAGCCTCACTGTACTGTGCAACAGGTCTGGTTACTTTGATTCACGTTAAGTGACATCCGAGTAGCTTAGCTTCAGTATTCAGTTAGGATTGTGATTGATTCAGATGACACCTAAAGCTGTAATACATTTTCTAAAGACGTAATATTAGAAGAACCAAAATGTTTTGTTTCTTTTTCATTCGAATGGATGGCGTCCCACCCCACTTTTTTCTCTCTTGCATAGATGGCGCCTGAATTCAAGGAAGTTTTACTGAGGCTAAATTTTTTCTGATCACTTCATGATGATTGAACTGGGTTACTGCGTTGTATTTTATTTCCAAGATTCGTCAGTTTAATAAACGTTCAGTCTTTGGTAACGTTAATGGAATATACTGCTTCTGCACAAAATTTAGGAAATCAACATTTGACATAGAAGAGTAAATCTTAAGACACTCGATGTAAAACTCAACTCAGAATTTCCCTCGATTTTACTGCACATGCCAGAATATTGATGAATCGAAAATTCGTGCGACTACCGCGTTCGGCAAAAAAATTTGACCCATTTTACATCTATGCCCTAAAACAGTTTCCACGCAATTTCCCAAGTCATCTCTTCTTTAGAATAGTTTGTCTGAAAGTCCACCCTTTTCAACCTGTGGAATGCCACTTAATCTAAGCGTGTTTCACACGAAAAAATCAGGGTGGTTTGTCAAGAAATGCGTGTCTACCGACGAAAAGTTCGAGGGTCTTTTCAACTGATTCATTCAAAATCGTTTTACTTGACGAGGAATGAATACGTGAGGGGTCTATTCGTTTATTTTTCGACTCGAAAGCTTAGTTTCGGTAGTTCTCGGGAAGGTTATAAAATAAATAAACAATAAACGAAAATCTACTCAAAAGTTACTCAAAACTAAATGAAGCTTCGTTTTTTAAAGTTCTTATCCAGGTTCATGCAAAGGGTCCACTGATTAAATAATCGGACAAGCGACATTTTTCAATAGCACAAAATTGAAGCTGTAGACAAAATGTCAATTGCTTCGTTTCCAAATAATTCAACCCTTTTTCATTCCTCAGTCCCTCAATCGGACACAATCAAGTTCAGCTCCAATACAATGTCTCCAGTTTACATCTTTTACAACAATGCACACATCAAAGACATCATGTCGGGTGTGAAGGACTGAGTTGCATACCTTTTTCACACGTTTGAGAGTGACTCAGCTGCTGAAAGAATTTGCATGCAAGTCACACCTCTGTGGCCGTGCCCGAGCTCGCTCAAGCTTTCTCGTTTTCAATATTTCCGAAAACGTGATAAACATGCGAGGCGTACCTTTCATAATTACAATCTCTGACTCAGTCATCTGCAAATACAATTCCATGCAAAAAAAATTGTTTGCCACTTGAATTTGATTCAGTGAATATATTTTCAACTCACTAAGAACATTTGGAGCATTGAATAGTGTATCTCCGTACTGTAAATTGAAATGTTGGCATCTACAAAAATAACATTCAAGTCACACAGAGAAAAGGAAGTCCCTCTATGCAATAGGTAATTTTTTTCATTAGCTGAATGGATGGGAAAGTGATGGGAGAAATGACAAGGAATTTTTCTTGCATACATCTTAAGGTTGGAAATATCTGTTTCTTGCAATAAAGCCGAATAAAAGTCAATTTTCCTGAAATTAATTGGCAATTTTATCATGCCATGCCCTCATGTCAAGTCAGTGTCCGTATGTCGAGCCTTTTTTTAAATTGAAAAATTAATGTCCCTACAGCGAATTGTTCTCATGTCGAGGTGTCCGCATGTGGGGGTCTCACATAATTTTCATCGACGAATAATTTTTAAATCGTCATTCGAATTTGATCGTGTAATATTAGATTAATAGCAGATTTGGAATACGACTTGAAAAAAATCAAGGAATATATAGAAGACGCGGAAGAATCAAGGCTTCCCAGAAATAAAAAAAATTTGTAGTACCGAACACCCAATTTTCTCTGGGCTTCTTCAAATCGATGTTCGGTATGATCAAGAAAACCAAGAGAAATCATGAGCGAAAAGTAGACGGATTTTTTTTTAAACTTAAAACTACTGATCGGACTTTAAATTAAATTGATCAGTGCGCGTAAATCAAAATATGATTTATTAAAAGTTATGGTATGTAAGATGGTATGTAAGTGACGATTGCAACTGAACTAAATGCTTTTTTAAAAGAAAAATTAACAGATCATCCCCACTATTATCTGTTGATCGGAACAAAGGTCAGAATCTCGATTTAAATTGGATGTGCGCCAGAAAATCAACTAGAGTAAATCCACGGACTTCTTAGATTCAAAAGAATTATAACGCAGTGAAAACGCATCCCAAATTCGCGAGCGAAATTCCATCCATTTTCAAGACACAAAAAATCGAGGCGCATCTCGAAAATTAATTATGTCTCACACGAGGGCTCTCCCACTTTCGCACAAAAATTGGACATTTTCGAAAATGTTAAAAATGTGAGAAATTTCAAAATTTCCCACAAGATCTTCTACGCATTTGCTATTATTTCAGACTTTCAAGCCTTTTTTCCAAACTACATAATGGAATTTAAAGACTTCCTGGCTACAAAAATGTCCGAGTTTCCTTCTCATTTCACTGGGTAATAAAAATTTGTCACGAGAGTTCGACAATTGAAATTGTGTTCTTGTGTAGAACATTGAGCTTCTCATATCTAGGAATTTTTCCCAAATGCCTGAATGATCAGCTTTCTTTTAATGGATAAAAAAGCAAAAATTTCCAATCTCAACAACGTCAGAAATATTCAACTATGCTCGACAGTGGGACAACCCCCTATTTGCTTCAGAAATTTGTCAAAATCAGGAAAAGAAGGACAGGCTCTTCATGACTTGATGACATGTAATTATTTATTTGACAAAAAGACGCATTCGCGTAAAAACGGCTACGATCGGGAAAATAAAGAGGGATTCTTCCCGACTTAATCCAATGTTATTATTTTTGACAGAAAACCCGTCGCATTTGCGTAAAAAAATATTACGATCAAGAAAAGTAAGGCAGATTTTTCATGACTTGATCCCATGTGATTATTTTTTGACACACAAAAAAAAAACAGGTCGAATTTGTGTAAAAAGGTTACGATCATGAAAAGAAAGACAAATTCTTCATGACTTGATCCCATGTAATTATTTTTTGACACAAAAAAAACAGGTACGATCAAGAAAAGAAAGTCAGATTTAATGTTTATTATTATTATTATTATTATTATTATTTTTTGACAAAAACAAAACAGCATTTTCTCATAAAGAAAAGAAAGTCAGATTCTCCCTGACTTAATTTAATGTTTATTTTATTTTTTGACACAAGAAACAAAACAGGTACGATCAAGAAAAGAAAGACAGATTCTTCATGACTTAATTTAATGTTTTTTATTTATTTTTGACACAAAAAAACAGGTACGATCAAGAAAAGAAAGTCAGATTCTTCATGACTTAATTCAGTGTTTTTTACCTTTATCATTAAAACAGGTCGTACTCGTACATCTCGCCAGAAGGACACCCAATCCACGTTTTGTACGTGGCCGATGCTGCGGGATTCCGCGTCATTTCAAACGCACTGCCGGATGCCAACGGCGACATCCCGCTTCACGCCCAGGCCGTAAGCGATTNAAATTATAAAAGAGAATCACTGGTCAGCAAGTTACAGTACAGTACTGTATATGGTTTTCAAAAATGAAAAAAAAAAATAACCAAGAGGAATAAAGTCTCTGAGCTTAATTGAGGAACGCATCAAAATGTAACTTTATGCGTTTCGAGAGGAATTTGAAACTAATTGGGCAAATAAACCCTTACCTTCAAATTCAGCATACTGAGAACTCACGAAGAAGCAATTAAAGGCCCAGAATATCGCCAATTACAATTCCCTGCAAATTTTTTTCCGTGATTTCCCCCCAACAAAAATGCGTGTTTCCCCAACTCGATAACTCCCCATTCTGATTCAGCACGAAATGACTTCCAAACTTCAAGCAGCCCGAAATTCAGATGGATTATTCTCACGGAATCTGCAAAGACTGCTAAACCAACAAAATGTGTTTCCTGTAATTATTATTATGATTATTATTTTTATTTTTTGTAATGGTCCGAGACGGCTGTGGTCATGTTCTTTGTGGCCTTCACGTTCGGCGTTCTCTCCTCGTGTACGCCAACAAGCGTCGGTAGTTCAGTTCGGCAGTCGGAGTCGTTAGTACTTGGAGGTGTGGTTTTTAATTATTAACGTTCCAACGCTTTGTTGCACGTCGCATCTCCTTTTTTTTGAAGCCCCCAAGGGAAGTGATATTATCAACGAGAAATTCAAGTATTATATTTGTACACGTGGCTGCGAATCGTATTATTCGAATGGAATAAATTTCTTTTTGTTTGTTTGTTAGCCATCACTCTGTTGGTTATCTTCATATGAATTCGGCCATACTTCATCTGGTCTCCGAATGCTAGGAGGGGTCAGACAATTCAACATAGGGACACTTATTTCCACATAAAAAATTTATAAAAAAGGCCCAACATGAGGATACTGACTCGACATAGGAACATTTTTTGATGCAATTGCAAATACATTTTAGGCCAAATTACAAGAAACAAGTATTTCCAACCCTAAAATTGATGTGACAAAAGTTATTGGGTATTTCTCTCACCAATTTACCATCCATTAAGCTAATTAAAAAATTACCTCCAGCACAGAGGGACTTCCGTCTCTCTTTTTCACTTGAATGTTATTTTTACAGAGAATGCCAACATTTCTATGTACTGTACAGAGGTATCAGTATTCAATTCCCCGAATGTCCATATTGTGTTGAAATAGATTGATTGGAATCAGTTTAAATTGGGAGATACTTTTTATTTCCATGGAATTATGGTGAATATTCTGCACATAAAACACCAATTAAAAATTATATAATGTAAGTCTAAGGGAAAATGAGACTCAACTTAGAGACACTCTTGATGCACCAATTACGTCCGCATCTCAGGGTCTCAATTTTGTACAGCTTACTCCCCATTAGATTAGAATCAATGAAACAATCATACCAAAAGCATTTTTTTCTCTACAATGGCAAATTTCAGAAAATTATCATTTTTTTTACTGCACCCCCGATTTAGTGCCAGAAAATGTCACGAGACGAATGGTGGCCCTAAACCGGTATTTCGAGTGTTCATTAGAATCTCATCATGACGAATCTTGTCACAATGAATCATTGTTTACAACCGATTCGTCTTCAGGTTCCTTCCCAATAGAAACCATCTTTTCGAAATTTCTCTAAAACGAGTTTATTCTCATAACGAAGGCTTTTAATGTCTTTGTGGTAAAGATGATTTCCTTCAAAAGGCACGTGTGAACAGTGGAGATAATTTTGTAAAAAGGAACTCGGGAAATTACAGGATTAAATATATTGCAGGTGCCATAAGAATGGCATCGATCAGCCATTAATAATTCGCCGTCCCGGTTTCATGACTTTTAATGATCGTTTTTTATCCATAAGCTGCGATCAACTTGTATAATTCCGCTGTTAACTTGTAAGAAATCATTCAAGATCATTTTTCCTCGATTTTTTTCGTGATACATCACTCATTGAAAGAAAAACAAACAAAAGAGCAATTGCAGAAAATAAAAAAACTAGCTTTATAAAAAAAAGTTATCCCGTCATCTGACTTAAACAATTTCTATTAATTCAAGGAATTTCATGATTCTGACTCGATGCTCAGCCGAAATGTGATTTAGTTACGTTAACAAGATCACTGAGATTGTGATTTGAAGAGGAAGATATCACCAAGAAAGAAAAAAAAACTACATTGTACAGAATTAACACGATTTTCTCCTTTCGAAACTACGATGACCATCCGTCTTTTTGCATGCGTAAGATAATTCTTTCGACCGAAATTTCCTGAATTCTTCCTGACTGAGAAGCTTTGCAATTACCAAAAAATCGAAATTTTTTTTGGACCCGCTCTGGAATCAAATCCAAGAAAATCTGACGCGAACAAACGCTGAAGATATATATCTTCAAGCCAGACCGTTTGTCATTGACATCCTTACTTACAAGCATTTCATTGAAACCGAATAAAATGTGCGTTGGAATTTTCCAAGAAAGTGCAGTGAAACGGGGTACAAGATAAGCCTAACTCACGCTTAACTGTTGCCCCTTATAAGTTGCAAGCTCTTCAAGCAAGAAAGACAAACTCCTCGGGTTCTTTTTCATGCGAGTCAGCACGGACATGCCTCTTATCGCTGTGATCTCGTCCACCAAGACGACATGAAAGGTTACACCCCAAGAAACGTTCACGGAATGGTAATTAGAACCGATGAACATAGAAAAAGTAAAAAAAACCTCGGACCTTGCCGTAGTGGGTTTTCAAATGACACGCTTTGAAGGGACATACTAAAATACTGTACTGACAAAGCCGTCACTCGGAAATATGCATTTCATCTAAATTTGGGGTTAGAATAAATAAAAAAAAAGTATTGAAATACTGTAAATCCAAGAATAATATTTTTTTCATTCGTCCTGTTCGCTATTTGTGATCGCTCAACTAGAAAAGACGTTGTTTCGAAATGCGAAGCATTAACACATTTTCTTGTTCGCCATTTGCGATCTTCAAATTAAAATTAATTCGTAAAAATTAGTTTATACAAGCGTTCAAAAAACAAAAAGATACCGCACGGAGTTTAAATCTCCAGCTTATGAGAGATGAGAACTCTCACTCTTCACACGGATTCAACAGTTTGAAAAAAATTTTCTTCTAGATATTAGGAATCAATGTACAGTATAAAATGTTATTTACAGATATTGCATTAATAATTGGTTTCCTGTCACCTGAAAATTGCGATGGGAGTTCAAAAGCGACGACATCGATTACCACCGCCTGAAATTCCCGACGATAACACGAATAATGCGTTCGACAACGTTTGATCGCATAAACGAGCTTTTGCATTCTTATTTTTTAAATTTTAATGAAATCTTTTTTTCCTAATCTGAACAAAAATAAAATGCAGCACAAAGATAATCAATTTCTTTTAAAAAGTTTCTCGCAACACCCTCAAAGAGGCGCTCCTTCAAAAGTTGAGAAAAAGAAAACGTTTCTACTTCATCCATGCATTACAGCACTTGATATGCTTCTCATAATACCTTAATTATTATTCTGAGCGTTAAATGCAGACCCAAGGTCAAACAGTTCGGG